TTTTCCGCACCAATTCCGCCATCTTTGCTTTTCCCAGAGGAGTCCCTTGGTGGAGCAGACGCACCATGCGTTGCCCAAGTGCCGCGGGTAAGAGTATCTTACCTTCAGGATCCTGAAACCACTTTTGTCCCGGTATCATACTTCCCCATTTTCTTGAAATCCACTCCAAATCTTTAGGAGTATAATTGGGCTCCGGCGGAAGCAGGGCGTCTATCAAGATCCGTAGTGCCAAAGCACTTTTACTTTCAGTTAGGGCAGCTTCCCAGGCTGCCGCATCAGCCAGGCAGTTTCCGACTGCCTCTAGGGTGTTGCCTTTTTGATGTCCTGGACTGTGAATGATCGCGAGTCTCACAGGTTCCCAGATGGCTGTTACAAGGTCTAGAATTTCCGATTTTTGATGTCCTTGCCCTCGCCATGAGGAGGCCGCACTTAATAGATGGAGCCGTGAACATGCGCAGTTGCAAAGGCATAGCAGCTGTCCGTATAAATATTAACTGACTTGTTTTTTTTCCGAGTTTCAGGGCTTTAGTTAGCGCAGAAGAGCTCTGCACGCTGGCTGAGGTTGGGTCTGTTGGCAGGGGAAGGGTCTGTTGCCATAAAACCTCGAGGTCTGTCGTAACCGCAGCATCGGCATCCCTTTGCCCTTGAAACACAAAATTACTGCCATCTGAAAACATGTTGATATCAGGATCCTGTAGGGGAATGTCCGTGAGATCGGGGCAGAAGGACGAAACTGTCACTAAGGTCTCTGGGCAAGAATATAGAGGGGGACCTAGTCCTTCAGGCAGCAAAGCAGCTGGGTTTAAGGCTGCGGGGGCACAAAAACGTATCCAAGGCTGGTCGAGCAGCAATGCCTGATACTGGGTAATCCGAACATTTGACAGCCACCGTTCTGGGGGAGCCCACAGTAAGGCCTCCACTTCATGGGGCCCTGTAACAGACAACATCTGTCCCAGGGTTAGTTTATCTGCGTCTTTGACTAGTAGCGCAGTGGCAGCTATCTGTCAAATGCATGTGGGCCACCTGGAAGCAACTGGGTCTAGCCTTTTGGATAAATAGGCCACTGGTCAGCACCAAGGTCCCAGGCGCTGAGTCAGAACTCCCTTGGCTACCCCTCCCTTTCTTGGCTACAAACAAATGGAATGGCTTAGTGGGATCTGGCAGGGCCAAGGCCGGTGGGGTCATGAGAGCCTCTCGTAAAGCTTGGAAGGCTTTAGTTCGAGTCTCCCCCCATGTGAAGGACTCCAGAGACCCCTTGAGAGTGGCATACAAAGGGGCTGCCAGTTCAGCAAAGCCAGGTATCCATAGTCTGCAGTAGCCTGCTGCCCCAAGGAACTCGCAGACTTGTTTGCGAGTTTCAGGCTGAGGAATATCGAGTATAGCACGAATTCTTTGTTCACCGAGATAGCGCTTACCTTTTTTAATGTTGTAACCTAAATACATGACCGCAGTGCAACAGATCTGCGCTTTTTTGGTTGACACTCGGTATCCCAGTTTTTGCAGAAGACTCAAGAGTTCCTTGGTGGTGCTCAGGCATTCTGAATGAGAGGGGGCCACCAGCAAGATATCATCAACATACCGCAACAGAGTTACCTGCGGTTTGGAGATTTGAAATGGTTCTAGATCCTGGTGCAGGGCTCCATTAGAAAGAGTAGGGGAGTTTTTGAATCCCTGGGGAAGTCGCGTCCAAGTGAGCTGTCCGGCTTTTCCCTCTTCAGGATCAGTCCGTTCAAATGCCAACAGTGGCTGGCTCTGTGGGTCCAGTGGGATGGCAAAGAAAGCGTCTTTTAAGTCCAGAACTGTATAATACACCTGAGAAGGGGGAAGCAGACTAAGGAGAGTATACGGGTTGGGTATAGTGGGATGAATATCCATTACTCTGGTGTTTACTGCTCTCAGGTCTTGAACTGGCCGAAAATCGGATGAGTTAGACTTTTGGACAGGGAGAAGTGGAGTATTCCATGGCGACTTGCATGGGGTCAGAATGTCCGAGTCGTGCAGACGCTTGATGTGAACAGCGGTTCCCCGCCTAGCCTCCCGGGACATAGGATATTGTTTCAGTCTTACCGGAAGTGTGGACGCCTTAAGTTCCACAATTATCAGGGCTTGATGAATCGCCAGTCCAGGTGGATTGGTCTCGGGCCATACCTGGGGAAGTCCGCCTGGAGACTTTTAAGGAGGGGATCGACTGTGTGAACATTTTCATTCGGCACCAGGGTAAGTAGGCCCTCTTCCCCAAGTGGCACAGTCACCATTACTATTGTTGGGCCATCCTGGCTGACTTTAACAGGCATACCCCCTCAGTGAATCTCAAAGAAGCCGTTAGTTTCTGTAATAGGTCTCTGCCCAGTAATCCAGGGTAGGGGCACTCAGGCATGATTAAGAAAGAATGTGTAACCGTTTTATGGCCTAAATCTACTTTTCATTCAGTGGTCCATTTACAAGTTTGGGACCCAGTCGCCCCTTGCACCAGGGTTGCTCCTCGCCTGGTGGGGCCGGGATCTTTGTTTTAGGACTGAAAAGGTTGCCCCAGTGTCCACCAAGAAAGTCTTAGGCTGGCCCCCTATATTAACAGTAACCAATGGCTCAGAAGGGACCACTGAGCTGGGCCCCATCAGTCGGAATCGACTTCCATTATAGATGCCTGAAGTGGCCGAGTTTTGCGCTGGGCTAAGTTGGGGCAATCCTTTTTCCAGTGTCCCTCTTGCTTGCAATATGCACATTTTTTTTTTCTAGTGGTGCTCTAACCCTTTGTCCTTTTTCTTTTGCCCAGACCAGAATTCTTTGGGCATTTGGGGTCCCCTTCCCTCGCGGGCATCCAGGACAGCCCTACCACCCTAGTCAATTTTTTTGTCTGTCCCTCTTCCTGAGAATACCTATTGTCTAAAACTTTTGGGGGCTATTTCAACTAGCTCAGATAAATTTTTCCCTCCAAACCCATTTAATTTTTGTAATTTCTTCCGAATGTCTTGAGCTGCCTGTGAGACAAAGGCCAGGTTTAATGCCCTTCTATTTTCAGGTGCCTCAGGGTCTATAGGGGTAAAGGTACGGTACGCCACCATGAGCCTTTCTAAGAAGGCTGAGGGGCTCTCCTTGGTCCCCTGAACTACTTCAGTTACCTTAGACATGTTTGTGGGCCAGCAGGCGGCCGCTCAGAAACCTCCCAGTAGAGTCTGGCAAAATAGGATCAATGATCACCTACCGTGACGAGTGTTTGGATCCCAATCTTCAGGGTGGGAGGAAGGAAAGACCTCCTTGAGTAAGGCGGGATCCTTGGTGGGATGCCCGTTTAGCCCCATCACCAATTTCCAGGCCTCGCGATGGATCTTATGCCATTCCTCAGTAGTGAAGAGGACCTGCAAGAGCTGCTGGCTGTCATCCCAAGTTGGCTGATGGGTCACAAATATACTTTCAAGAAGAGGCCTAGAATAGACAATAGCATGAACCTTATATACCAGAGTAAGGTCAAAGGACCCCGGCAGAGGCCATTCGACCTGAAAGCTGGTCCATTCCACCTCGCAGAGAGTTGGAAGGATTGGCTTCTTGACATGGAAGCCAAAAACTGAGGCAGCTCCCCCATAGTCCTGGAAATGAGTTAGTATGAGACTCAGAGGGGTGGGGTGCGTTGATTTTGACCCATGACAAAGATAGGCAAAACCGAGAAGGACGCACAGACAAAGCAACAAAAAGAAAACAATTAAGGCAAAACCGAGAAGGATGCACAGACAATTAACAGAAAGAAAACAAGACACAAAGAGAACACAAGTTCAAGATCTCGAGGCCAGTAGGCTGCGGCAGCCACATGAAAATAGATCCTTTCTAACAAAAACCAAACCAAATGGGGTCCACCGGCATCTTGGTAGGAACCCTGATTCTGGGTCTGTATCCACATCCAGCAGACCCTTCTTGAGTCATTCAAATGGCGCGCCCCAATCCCGAGCCTCGTTCCAGGGATTGGCGGAGCAATCCGAGGAAAGGGCCCTGTTTCAGACCTTTAAATTTCCCGGCCAATGCACCAAATGTTGCATCCACATGACTCCTGAAACAGAATGCTACAGGCACCAGTGACAGTCACAACAAAATTTATTGCAATGAGAGGCAAGGCCAACCGATCAGGACTGACACTCTTGACCAAAGTGTGGTCTCAAACAGTGGGGGTACAGAGTTTTTATAGCCAACCACATCGTCTGATCATCACCTGGGGACAGAACAAAGAAATAGTTCCCAGGTGGGGGTGGAACCAGTTCAGATACGTCCTTGCCCCAATCCAATCAAACACTAAACCAGTTGATTTCCCTTAAACTTCTGTTCCCTTGATTGATAGGAAAAGGCTGTTATCTCTTAATCTACAGTGTTAAAACAAAGCTGTTATTTCTTAAGGCTACAGGTTAGCCCTGCACTACAATTTAAACCCTTACAGTTATAGTCTAGAGTCAGACTGGGTCTGATTTAAAAAACCAAACTAGGTCCAGGATTGGATTGGGTTTGATTTGAGCTGAAATGGGTCCAGTAAATGCTCTTGCTAACAGGGATCTCAGAAGCCAGAAAGCTGCACAAATTGATGGGGAAGGGTCAAGCGTTTAAAGACTGTTCGAGCACTTGCCACCTCAGGAGCACTCCCATGACCGGGTAAGTTGGTCATGTAACCTCAAGAAAATTTCCATGCAATGAATGTAAAACACCCCACAATTCCAACTCCCACAGCACATCCCTCTTAGGTGTTAGTTTGTCTCTGAGAAACTCAAAAGCCTAGCTTAAAAAAATGGGTTCCTTTATATCCAAAGAGTTAAGTGTGCCACCTTTTGGCACACCTGTTTATTTTATGTATAAAGAATATGGTCCTGGAGGCTATAGATATTTTTAGAAATGGCAAAATCTTACTAAACCCACCTAGAATTACAGTGGCCATTATAAGGAATGTTTCAGTTAGGTGTGATCATTTAAGAACTGCACTTGAAAGTAAGCGTTCCCAAATTAAACAGAATGGGATATCTCTTTTAATTGTCATGCAGAAGTCTCCAAAAGGTTTCAAAATTCCAAAATGGTTTCATTGAAAGTTTCGTTGCAAAAGGTTAATGAAAAAGAGATAAAAGTTACCTAAAATGAAAGACTATAAGACTATGAGAAGTAACTCCTACTGGTCCCCCTCTACCTTCCTTTATTTAAGTACTCATTCTAGGAATCTTCTTAGTTGCTTTTCCACTCTTAAAAGCCTATTAAAAATTACCTTTTAAAATAAGACCCCCCCAAGGCTATAGGCAAACCTCTTTAAGTGTCTTTTACTCCTTGGTCAAAGACAAAAGTAAGGGCTTTAGTTAAAGAATTGTTTTCAACCCATGGAGGATCCCCAGAAGTTTTTATAAATAGATTACTTCCTGGGGTGCCTGGGTGGCTCACTCAGTTAACCGTCCAACTTCGGCACAGGTCATGATCTCACGGTTCCTGAGTTCGAGCCCTGCATCAGGCTCTAGGCTGACAGCTCGCAGCCTAGAGCAGGCTTCAGATTCTGTGTCTCTCTCTCGCTCTCTGCCCCTCCCTCGTTCGTGTGCGCTCTTGCTGTCTCTCTCTCTCTCTCTCTCTCTCTCAATAATAAACATTAAACAAAATTAAAAGTAAATAGATTACCTCCTGAGTCTTGTCAAGAGAAGACAATAAAATTTCACATTGGCCCTTCCTTTCCAAACCAGACCAATTGGTTAGTGATCCTTGTCTCCAGGGATTAGATATTGTCTTCTTGCTTGTCTGGTTTTATGTTCTAAGAACTTGTCTTGTATTTCTGTGTGCCTGGGACATATAGGTTGTCGGTTCTGTCTTTGGCTGTCTTTGGGAGTGACTCTAAATCTTGTGAAGATAGTATATTCGCACCTTCTTTGAGGATGCATCTTGGTTCTATGAGGTTGTTTAATACTGCCAGAAATATTTACTGTTTTATCCGACTGAAACCTGACAAGATATTTGAAAGGATTAATACTTTATGATAAGGTATTTGGCCAAATTTGAAGGTTGCATTCACAATCTGATAGGAATATTTTTAAGGTCTTCCTAAGAAAGTATCTTCTTAAGTTGTTTCCTAAGAAAACTGTACACTGAAGGAAAAAGAAATAGTCCAACATAGGGTGTGTCAGTATTTGATATCACTTAGCAGCCCAATTCTTTGAGGAATTAAAAACAGTTATTCTTTTGCAAACCTAGTCTTTACAGGACCAACATTGTGGCTCCAAAAACATTCAAAGTCCACACTAATCATTTTTTAGCAATCTGCAAACCTCCCCTATTTATCTCAAAAGTCTTGTAAGTATTGTAAAAATTCTGGCTTTAAGGAAACAAAACTTTGGGGAGCAGCTTGCATTCTTTTTCTATGCCTTTCATATGTAAATGTTCTACCTTATTTTCTCCAGAATTCTTATGAAGACTGTCTTTGTTATGCATACTTCAGGGAGGTAATTCTTATAAAGAAAAACAGAGTTGGGGAGGTCATTTGGAACTTGATTTGTCAAGGACAAACACAAATCTTGTGTCTATAGACCTTTGTCTATATTAGATTCTAATCCTGTTCATTGTCTTAGAGATCTTGTTATATGCCTATAAACTGGACCAGATCCTGAATCCAAGTTTCCTCAAATATCTGGCTGTGACTCTCCAAACTAGCATTTCCAATTTTCTCCCAATATGTGATCTTTGTGTCTGGTTTCTGTCATATAACATTGTATTCTAAGGTTTCATCCATGTTGTAGCACATACCAATATTTTATTCTTTTTTGGCTGAATAATATTGCATTGCATGGCTAAACCACAATTTGTTTATCTATTTACTAGTGGATGGAAATTTGGGTGACTTTAATTTTTATTTTACTTCGTTGGATGTTACAAATAGTGCTATAAACATTTGTGTACATATTTCTGTTTTGGTTTTAATTCTCTGGAATTGCTGTGTATTATGGTAATTCTGTTTTCACATTTTGAGAAACTGCTAGTTTTCAACAATGACTGTACCACTTTATATTTTCACTAGCAGTGTATGAGAATTCTAATTTTTTAAAGTTTTTTTTTAATATTTATTCATTTTTGAGAGAGAGAGCGAGAAAGAGAGAGAGCATGAGCAGGGGAGAGGGAGAGAGAGGAAGACACAGAATCTGAAGCAGGCTCCAGGCTCCGAGCTGTCAGCACAGACCCCGACGTGGGGCTCGAACTCACAAACCGTGAGATCATGACCTGAGCCGAAGTTGGACGCTTAACCGACTGAGCCACCCAGGGAGCTCTAATTTCTTTTTTTTAATATAATGTTTATTTTTGTGAGATAGAGTGAGCAGGGGAGGGGCAGGGAAAGAGGAGGACAGAGGATCCAAAGCAGGCTCTGCACTGACAGCAGCAATCCTGATGTGGGGCTCAAACTCACAAACTGTGAGATCATGACCTGAGCTGAAGTCAGATGCTCAACTGACTGAACCACCCAGGTGCTGAGAGTTCCAATTTCTTCACATCCTCGCCAACACTTACTACTTTCTTTTTCTTATCATTAGAGTCATAACAGTGGGTGTGCTATAGTATAACATTGTGGTTTTCATCTGCAATTCTCTAATGACTAATGATAATCTTTTCATGTGTTTAGTGGCTATTTGTATATCTTCTTTGGAGAAATGTCTATTCAAGTCCTTTGTTAACTTTTACGATTGGACTATCTTTTTGTTGTTGAGTTGTAAGAGTTTCTTCTTTTTTAAAAAATTTTTTAATGTTTTATTTATTTTTGAGAGAGAGAGAGAGAGAGACAGAGTACAAGAAGGGGAGGGGCAGAGAGAGAGGGAGACACAGAATCTGAAGAAGGCTCCAGGCTCTGAGCTCTGAGCTGTCAGCACAGAGCCCAGTGTGGGGCTTGAACTCACAAACTGCGAGATCATGACGTGAGCTGAAGTTGGACACTTAACCAACTGAGCCACCCAGGAGCCCCAAGTTGTAAGAGTTTCTTACATATTCTCTATACTAGATTCTTATCAGGTATGTCATTTGCAAGTATTTTTAACATGCTTTGCAAATGTTATCTCTAATTCCGTGGGTTGTATCACTTTCTTGGTGATGTGCTTTGTGCAGAAAAATTTTATTTTTGTTAAACCCACTTTGTCTTTTTTTTAAA